AGCAAGAACAAGATAGTTCCGGAGTTCCGGTTGATAAAGTAGCATCGTAAGTCCCTAATCTATGCGAGATTGTCTGTAACAAGGCACAGGTAACAAGGTATCTTTCTCCCCCGCTCCCCCCCTCTCTCTCTCTCTCTCTCTCTCTCTCTCTCTGTCTTTGTCTCTGTCTCTCAACGAGCAGATCGACGTAAGCGACGTAAGAAATACGAGGGTATTGCGTATCTCGAATTATGCGAGCATAATTTCAGGGCTGATGGGTAATTTAACGCGCGCATAATTACGATCGTTATTATTATCGCGCGCCGCGGTCTAATTACAAGAAAACGAGCTCGGCATCGCGGAAAATTCCCGACGCAAATCTCGGTGAAAGCCGCCGAGTAGTCATCGTAGGAGCCGGTGAGGGCGCGTATTCGCGATCGCTCTGCCTCGAACTTGGCGGCAGTTTCGCCGTTGAAGAGCGACGTCTATGGCGACTATGCAAAGCCGAATCCCGGGGCAATTAATTCCCCGGCCGAATCGAAGCGCGCGCGATTCTCTCGATGGAATATAATCGCGCGCTCTCGGCCGGCACCAGGACCAAAGGTGACTCTCTCTCTCTCTCTCTCCCTCTCTCTCTCTCTCGTCGAGAGCGCGTCGCCGATTCGCTTATCTCCCCGCTCTCGAAGCCCGGGGCTTCGCGTGATTCAATGGTCGCCGGTAGCGACGTTGTTAGCCATGCGCCACGGAACGAAGGCCGACACGATCGGCAAGACACCTCTCCGGCGATATCGCCGACTCGCCGCGCGCTCCTCGCGCGGCCCGACTGCAAATTAATTGGACATCGACATCGAGCTTTGCACCCCGATCCGTAGCGCGCCCAACAATCGGATCACTTTTCCTTCCGAGCTGCGCCGATAGAATAGCGTAACATCGCATCGTTAACGTCAAACCCGTTCGTTATTTCCCGTTTGTGCGCTCCCAATCGCGCGCGAACCGTCGAATTTTGTCTCTCCGGGCAACACGGTCACGTGTACGAACGCGCGCGCGTTTTTCCGCCTCGCGCGGCGTGTTGCCTCGCGAGGCGCGAGCTAATCCTCGCGGATAATTTTGCAGACGAGTCAAAGAGAGGCGGAGAATTACGAGGAGAGAAATTCACGAAATCGACGGATGCGCCGCGATAACGGAGTTGAGTTCACGAGTGTGTAAACAAATCCGGAAAACGTGGAGCGCGAATCGATTTTCGCGCCACGACGCGCCCCCGAAAGTGCACGGGGCGCGTCACGTCGCGTCGTTGTATCTCGCGCGCGGACAGTTCCTCCCTTATCCAATCCTCTTTGGCCGATCTCGAAACTCTCGGGTTCGCCCTCGGACCTACATCATCCGCTGCTTCTGACAGAGCATAACAATTTCCAGCGAGATGAACATTACCAGTTTACCAATTTACTTTGCCGGCTGTATGCAGAATCGAGAGGCAGACTCAAGTCCTTCTCCGCCCCCCTCCCCCCCTCTTCCCCACATTCTCCAATTACGAAAGCTCGCGGGGTTCCCGCAGAAAGTTTCGGTTTGCTCGACGTCTCTCGTGCGCGCGTCGCTGGCTAAACTGTTTAGACACGTCCTCGGACGGTCGAAAACTTCCAAGTGACGTTCGAATTTTGGTACTTACCATGTCAAGTAAAGTATCGGAAGCTTCGAAAGATCGACAGGCCGACCAAAGGGTAAGAAGATAGACGTCGCGGCGCGGTCGGGAATCGAGGGAAGCGAGCATATCGACTCGACTCGAAATCCACTTGGTCGCGCGGAAAACTTATCAAGCCGCGATGACGTGTACGTGTTCTCGAGACGGTAGTGGTTGATAATAACCGCTAGTCGAAAATGAAATTGGCCTGCCCGGTCGTGCACTCGAGTATATGGCATGTCGCGACGAACGTACACTTGGAACTCGATATTCTGTATTTCGAAGTTTAGCAGCAGTTCTCGCCAATATTCGCCTCGAATTAGTCGCCCTTTGGTAAATATGTAGAAAAGGGTACACCTCAGCGATCTCTTTCATTTTGAAATATGTTATAAAGGATGAAATTCTGAGTGACTTTTCCTAATACAATTATATGGGGGTCGCTTATAGTTTCTGAGATATTTGACTTTGAAGTTTTATAATTGTACGTTGAGGTATATTTGAAGTAGAGGTAAGTATATAGAAAGGGGTACACCTCACTGGTTTTTTTCATTTTGAAATATGTTATAAAGGATGAAATTCTGAGTGACTTCCTGATACAACTATACGGGGATCGCTTATAGTTTCCGAGATATCTGATTTTAAAATTTTAGAATTTTGATTATCCTGGAATTAAATTCCAGACATCATAAGCTGACGTTATTTACAATCCAAACAGTTAATCCAAACATAATGTATACATAGAAATATAGGAAACAGTATAAGCGGGAGAGGGGTTCCGCCCCTCCCCCGCACCCTCTCCTCAAAAAAATCCTAACCTAACTTATTGCATCTTTATACATTGTTGGGCGATGTTGAAAAGATCTCCTTAAGAGCCACAACATCTAATTATATGCAAATATTATAACAAGTTAAGTCGAGCCAGGTGATAGATCTTAAGAGAATTTTTTTCAACAATACCCAAAAATATACAAAGATGCAATTAGTTAGGTTAGGTTAAGATTTGTTTGGAGAGGGGCTCCGCCCCTCTCCCGCTTATATGTACTGTTTCCTATATTTAAAGTGAACGAAAACTGCTTGTCTACTTCAAATATACTTCAGCGTGCAATTATAAAACTTTAAAGTCAAATATCTCAGAAACTATAAGCGACCCCCATATAATTGTATTAGGAAAAGTCACTCAGAATTTCATTCTTTATAACATATTTCAAAATAAAAAAAGAATCGGTGAGGTGTACTCTTTTCTATATATTTACCCGCCCTTTATATTCGCGCGATGCAAAGATACTCGCAGAGTCGTTCGAAAGAAGAAAAGAGAAAAGAAAGAAAAGAAGAAAAGGAAGAAAGCATCGAACAGAGGTCGATCCATGAAATATTAAACGCCCCAATGTTCCGTCACGCGAGCTTGCAACGTATGAAGAACAAAGTCAGTCGTCTCTCTTGTATCGCCCGTATGCGCGATATGCGATAGCGCGCGCGCGGACCCTGTGCTTTATTTTACGGCGAATTAATATGTAAACGAGATCCACGTCTTACGAACTGTCTACGACGACTTACGTTCACGTTACGAGTGCACGAACGCAGAACAAGACCGTTGTCTGGAATGTTTTAGCCTCCACATTTAATCTGGTACTGAAAATTTTAGTCCGTCTCCGCCTAAGAATTCTCGCTCTTAACCTTTTTGCTCTTCACGTCCATTCCCGTCTTTCTGACGGCGACGACGAGGACGACGACAACGACGACAATGACGACGAAGTTAGATACCGAGACCCCCGCCGCTAGTCGTTGCATGCGCATACTTATGTACTCTGCGCACACATACACTCCGCCGCGTTAAAAAATACAAGAGGCGAGCTTAGACCGTCTACGCGGCCGACAATTTCTCCTTACTTATATCTGGCGGGGACAGAAACGGGAATTGGAAACATCGAATCGCTGAGACGAAAAATCTAATTTAAAAAGCCCTAGACGGGACGGAAGGGAGACGCCCAAGCTCCGCTTGTAAAATAAAGCGTATATCGGACGGCCAAATGGTAATTCCCCAAGTTTTGATTAAAATTCCTAGGAATGTCTCGCCGAGGGATGAGCGACGATATCAAGCGAAAAACTGACCGGACGTACGCTCGGATCGGAGTGCGCAGCGTATCGCGAAAAGATCTCCTCCCTCGATAACGCAAAATTTCATTAATGTATCTGCGAGATACACGCCTGATAAAAAGCTAATAGTTTTCGACTCGTCGAGCACGCTCGAGAGAGAGAGAGAGAGAGAGAGAGAGAGAGAGAGAGAGAGAGAGAGAGAGAGAGAGGAAGACAAAGGGAGATAAGAAGCGGCGGTAAACCACGAAGAATGTCGTAATAGAGTCTGTCTTCCATTACTTGAGCATCTAGCTCCACTTCCAATCCTCCGGATCATCCAATCCTGGCACAATTTTCCGAGCTTTGCCGACCCTCGTCACTATTGAAAGCTCAAGCCGAAGGTCGACACGAGATACTTCTCCGCGGAAAAGATTCGCGGTAGGTCGAGTAACCGGAGTGCCGTTTTTTTAATGCTCCTATTGTGCACGCCCGGCAGTGGGTCAAGAGATTTACCGATTTAGGCGTGAAAGAAAGCACTCCGCATTTGAAAACGTCCGCTACCGAACGCCGAGCTATATACGCGTTGGTACAGCGGATCATATTCAAGCGGCACACTCTTGTCCAGCGATTGCCAACGTCATCTAACTTGATCCGACAAGCGAAGCTTTTCACAAGCAGCAACGTGCTTTGTCCATTTTCATCAAACCTTAGAGAATTGCGGAGTAACTCGGAAATATACGCTTGCGTGCACGCGCAAAAAATGCGTATTTTTTTCTTCTTATTCACGGCTTCGTTGCGGCTTGAAAATTAATGAAAAAAAAAAAAAAAAAAAAAAGAAGATATGTCCCATTTAAATTCCAAAAGTTATTTTTGTTTTCGATCAGATATCACCCGGGTCCCAAAATATGTGAGAACAGCCGACAACAGACAACGATTTCGCGCGATATTTGGAAAACATTTTCCGCAATTCCGCTGGCACATGAAGAAGCGATAGAAAGAAAGATCTCCCCGTCCAGGAAGAGTAACTCTTTCATGTACAATTATGTCACAAGTGGTCGTGACTAAGAATCATTTTCAGACGGCTCTCAGAGCACGAAAAGCACCGCTCTCGTCCTTTTATTATCCGCGATACAATCGAACACTCGGGGAATCGTTGTCTCGCATTTCCGACGACATCGCGTCGATAGCACCCCCGGGCGACGGCGTATATACTCGCAATTGACATTTATGTGATCTCATGCGAGTTCTCTCTTTCTCCCTTTTTCTGTTTCAGTCGCTGCTCTGAAGCTACTTCACGTAAATGTCCCGGCGTACACCCTCAGGGGCAACGAGGCGACTCTGGAATGCAGGTGAGAATGCTCGCCATAAGCCATACAAACGTCAACTGCTTTTCTGCGCGCGCGACATAGTCGTAATGTCGGCAGTGTCGTGCACCTCTGTCACAGATTATTGTGGTGTTTTATCGCGATTGTGGTATCAAGATTTTATCTCGTAATGGCATCCGCTTTGAAAAAAGGAGGAGTGGGGCGGCGGAGAAACAGGACCGAGCGTTCTGGGATGATTTCTCGTGGCACCGACGAAAATAGATCGTATCCGAAATTACTGATCGACACGTACCGTAGTGAGTCGGTAATATGTGACAAAACTTCTAAATGATGCACCACGCATCGATTATCCGATTACGAACAAAAATTCAATTCGCTAGTCGATCATACTTGAAATAGACGTGTCATCGAGATCGATCCTATTTGTCTCACCGTTGCACCTAAGAATAAATCTCCTACGTTTCCAAAAATCCAACGTCGTATATGTCGATCTGAAAACTCGTAAGTCCTTATTTAGAAGCGAACTTCCCTGAGCTTTAAGGCTGCGATTTACTTTTCGTGCTCTTTAGAGTTCTGCCGAGACCGTCTATTTTTATTAATGCCAATTCAGCTGAGCTTGCGATCTTATGTTACATCCACGTCTGCTTTTCACGTCGCTTCCGAATTATCTCGTGAACTTATTTATAATTTGTACATCTGAGGCTCTCTCTCTCTCTCTCCTCCTCTCCCTCTTTTGCGCCTCTTTCGCGATAAATAATAATTTGTCATTATTATAATTTATTTCACACACCATTTCAGACTTAATACGACACTAAATACTTACCGGTATCGATTGATTTATTCGCAGGAAAAATTCTAAAGATTTTTAATTCTTTAGATTATGAATTGTGGTAATATTTTGAAAATTATTTATAAAAACACATTCGTCTTTCAAATACTAAGGGAAATACATTTATTCTACTCTCTTCTTTTTGAAGAAAACCCGAACGTTACCTTAATAATTTCTTTTTCCTTCGGACAATCTCTCTCTCTCTCTCTCTCTCTCTCCCCCTCCCTCTCTCATTCCCCTCCCCCGTCTCTCGATAAAGCGCTTAATTATTAAAACAGCGGAGGCAAACTTGATGTGAAGAGTCAAAGCTTCTTGCACGCCTTTGTTCATAAAGCATGTAAACACGACCGAGTTAAACAGTGCGCACCAGCACAAGATGTGTTTCGCTGCTTATCGATCGACGTGCACTCGCATTTTATACGCAAGAGAGATAATGCGCATCTCGTTGAAACAAGACGCTACTTCACCCTCATTACATAATTTCTGCATTCCTCCTCCCGAGGCACCTATTACCTTCCTTTCGTTCCGGCACATCCTCTTCCTCATTATTTTCTCCAATTACGACGTACGATTTTACGATATACCAAACGACGGACTTTCTTTGTTGAAAATCTCCTCGATATCCTTTTCCGGAAATTATACTCTCGGGGGCTCGCGCTAAGAATGGGGGTCTATGCCCTGCGGAGGAAACTTTTCGGGCCCCGGATCTTTCTCTCCGCTGCCTCTGTGCTCTCTCCCCCCCTCCCCCCTGCCCTCGCTCCTCAGTAATTAGCACCGGTTTCTCGTTCTCCCTGCCAGTCCCCCTCCCCCTACCCAGCGACGGCGACCGTGATTATGTTAACTCAGCAATCGATAATTTAATTCGTTTGCACATGCTAATAAAGTTACGCCTACGCAAAGAGAGCTCCCAGGGTTAATTCGATCAGTTTTCGATGCGGCGCGCGATATAGCGTTGCCGCGGCGAATATAGTAACGATAAATGACCGGCTCGCGCGCGACCGCGGCCGGGGTCCGCTAAATAATTCGTCGGGTTATACAGACCGCACAATAAAAGCAAAGTATCGCGACATAATCACTAATGTATATCAACTCGGTTCCAAGCCAATGGGCGTGAATGCTCCGCCGTGTGTGCACAGCGCGAGCGAGCGAACAAGCGCGCGCGGTATGCGGCGAGAAACCACCAGCAGCACCACCACCACCAACACCAACACCAACACCACCGACGCTACCGCCGACGCCGCCGCCGCCGCCGCCGCCGCCGCCGCCGTGGTGGTGTTCGTTCGTTACAACGTAAATGCTCGGTCGTAATGAAAGACTAGACCACCCCCGGACGGTGGATAGTAGATTTTACACGCGCGCCGAAATCGAAAAAACTACGGACTGCGGGAATCATTGTTGCATCGGCGCGGAACCGGACGGAGTACGCCGCGAGCGCAACCGGCTCGCGTACAAATTCCATTTCCATCCGGAATTATTAAGACCGCGAGCGGTAGCGCTTCGCGGCAGGGCTAGGGCGGGGCGGGGGCGGGGCGGGGGCGGGAGGGAGAAGAGGAGGGTGAAAGACGCGCGGAGGAGGAGGCCGAATGGAAAATAGAGAGGAGCCTCGCGACGCCGCTGTGGAGACGCGATGCGGTCACGTCGCTGAGAGACAGAGAGAGAGAGAGAGAGAGAGAGAGACAATACGGAAGACGACACGAAGGCCGTACCTCGCGTTTGCCCCGCTGAAGTAAATCGTGTAAGCGGAGCTCATAAAGGCACGGCTCGGCTAAGAAGCGGAGCAATAAAGTACGTATCGGGTTTGCGGTTTGCGTTAAAGGAAAACGATAAATAAAATTACAAATAAAAGCGGGTCGGAGGAAGAAAAAAAGGAGAGAACAAAACGAGAGGAGCGAGGCAGCGGCGACGGCGGCGGCGGCCGGAAGAAGAAAGAGGGCGCGGCTGGATGGTACGGACGGAGCTTGAAACGCGAATCGGATCGAACAACGAAGAAATCTCGATACTCTTCCCGGGTCTCTTCGTACTTTATTTATTTACTTGCCAACGCGGAGATGGGTCCGCACGGGAAAACTTCTCGCGCCCTACCCCTCCGCCGACGCGGAGCGGCCTCTCTTACCGTTCGCAGCGGCGCCGACTTTTCTCCTGTCGGAAAAAGATGCCCCTCGACCCTTAACTCGACCGCGTCGAGTCGCAACTCTCGCGAGATTTTTCTCCCATGTACGTAGTCGTACGCGCGCGCGCGCGCGCGCGCGAGTTCTTCATGGGCGAGTCGAGGAGACGAGCGTACGTACTACCTTCCTCGAAAGCGTTATCGCTTCCAGCTCTCTAATCTACTGATCGGAATTTCCCGACGATCGGCCGACGGTGATGGTGGTTGCCGCTGCAGCGGCGGCGGCATCGGCGATGCTCCGGATCGAAGGCGAGCGAGAGGAAAAAAAGAGGAGGTACGAGGACGCGGAGAGAGCGAAAGAAACAGCGAGCCGTTAGTCAGCAAAACTCGTTTCAGCGGAACGATCCGTCATCGAATATGGGCGGAGAACGAGGGAGAAGAGGATCAGGAAGAAAAAGGGGAAGAGAGAGAGAGAGAGAGAGAGCGGAGCGATCCAGTTGGCCGAGCGAAAAGGAGCACCTTGCCGGTCCCTGCTGGCTCGGCCAAGGGTCACGGATTTCTCCTTTGTGTGCTCCAAGGCACTCCGAATATACGTGACAGACACAGTCTGTCCACGTCCCGCGCTATTCGCGACGCGAATGTACAATACAGCGACGAGCTCGGTGACCGATTCGCGTCATCGTCGCGACGCGAGGCGCCGAGAAGTCGGCCGCCCGCGTCGGGAGAGGAAGCCACTTTGACTCGTGCGAGCACGTTCGTCCCGAACGTGCGCGATGGATCCATCGTTTCAATCGACACGATTTCCGTCGAGTGCTCGCTCCCGCTCCCGCTCCCGCTCCGCCAGGCATTCCCCGTCAAAGAAGTATAGTCTCTCTCTCTCTCTCTCTCTCTCTCTCTCCTTGTATTATTCGCGCTACAACGCGCGGCACGGCGCGGCGGCTGATCGATGTCGTCGGGAAGATCGATGGAGACCCGGCGCGCGGGCTAACTACGGATCGAATAATGGCGGATGATTACGGTCGTCCGCGCAATCAGGGTCAAGAATTTCCAGCGGCCAGCTGCTGTCGATTTATAAGGCCGCGCGCGCGACCCGTCTGCTCCAATACATTTTCACCCTTACTTGACCCTTCGGCCGGACCTCCCCGACTGTGCCCATGCCATCCGCTAGATGGATGGTAATTGCATACCCTAAGTTATCACGGAATCGAAGTTTCTTCCGGTAGGAAACGACAAGCTTCACGGAATCTCTATTAGGGAGGCTCGATCGAAGTGCCGCGCGGACGTGTACTGGATATCGTCTAGTCTGTGTAAGAGTCCTGTAGTCACCCCGGCCGACGTCTAGTCAGCCTGTTGGGCCGCACGCGCGCGCGCGCGCACACACACACACACACACACACACACACGAACGCGCCGAGTCCCGACACGAACCGCGGAGTCACCCCGCCAGCGGGGGATAATTAAAGCGTAATTATATACTTTGGCGTGAGACTGGGTAGAGCGCGGGGGTGGGCGTAATGACGTTTAGTCGACACGTCGTAGATCTAAACGTCGTAATTGATGCGGTGCTTGATGATCATTACCGGGAATATGATTAGCGCGAGATATCGCCGGCGCGGCGGCGACGAGAGCGCGACGCTCTGCCGGCGCAGGTTCTTCCTTGCGCGTTTCGTGCCGCGCGGCGGAATATTTCACGACGATGACACACCGCGGGACGCGCTGCTCGGCGACGTGTTATCTCTTGCGTTTCTTGCGAGCGCTCGCTGCGCATTGAAAAGTCGGGCGGAAGGGATGATTACTCGACGACTGTCTCGAGGCGCTCCAGCCGACGACGATCTACTGTCGCGTCGACTTCTTTTACACGTCACGATGGATCATCCCGCGGCGCGTGCGTCGGTATGTGCGCGCTCGTGAAATCCGCGCTCGCGGCTCTATCTGCGCAGACACGTCGCGTTCGCGACCACCGAAAGTGCAACATCGGTCGTCGCGGCCGCGGTCGCCATAAATTCGGCCGCACAAAGTCCGACGCCGCGCCGCGCCGTGCGTCGCAAACAGCGAAACGCATGAGGAACGATGAGCTTGCCCGAAACT